TCGAAAGAAAGATTGTTGTTCTAAAAAATTTAGAAGTAAAAATTTTTTTCCATGAAAAGCTGAACCCACTTTCAAGCTTTATAACTTTACGAAGTGAAGAAGAAGTAACAAAATTATTATATACTGTTGATAAAATGGAATAGAGATGGAATTAATATTTTTAGGCAAATTTTAATGAAATACTGAAAATTCAGTAACAAGTGAAAAGTGAAATTTAATTTAATATTTTTAGGCAAATTTTAATGAAATACTGAAAATTCAGTAACAACTAAAAAGTGAAATTTCAGGGTTGCTACAGATATTCAATTTTTTCCCTGACTGTTGCCTGATTTCCAGTCGAAGTTTTATCTTTTTCCCCGCTCCTAATAAAAAAGGCTTAAAGAGATGTTTTGATATTTTGAGACGAGTTTAAGGAGTCAATAAATTAAGTGTTTTCTTAAAAAAAGTCAGTCGTAAAGTCTCATTCAAGGAAGCGAGTTAATCAACTAAACAATTTCATAATTATAATTACAGAACTTTTTAATAAAAATATTAAAAACCCAGAATTTTGGTATCCAATCCACGATTTAAAAATTTTTGCAGTCTTTTTGACAAAACTTCCTGACTTTTCCCTGATCTGCAGCAACCCTGGAAAGACATACTTGGGAAATGAAATGGAATTAATAAAATAATTGTATTGTATTATGCAAGTTGTAGGCATTTGCACTGTTTTCTTTTATTTCTTTTTGTCACAACACTTTTCACTTGAATCTCAAACCACCTGTAGTACACAATAAGCATAATACCGCCAAAACTGTTTCTGTAATTTACATTTTCTCCGCAAAAGCGCTGCCTCTGAACGTTGTCAGAACTAGCACAACTCTATTCCCCCAAATGTAGGCTGACTTTTACCTCTACTACCATTGCCGTGAGGTCTCCTTATACTACTTCATGATATCAAATATATAACAAAATTAATTATCAACACAAATTTTAATTTTATTATATGTCAACAAGCGTTTTCCGTGTTCATAAAGTATGAATAAAATTGATGAAAGTGGAAACAAATTTTCTTTCCCATAAGAATAACATTGTGTCGTCTGTTTGTTGTCCCTCCAGGCCTCTGACGTCATATCTTGAACTCGAAATATCTCGATGAACATCCATTTTTCTAGTAATATTTTAGTAACATTTTTATCCATCACAAATTTATCCTTTACCCTGTATCCTAACGACTTTTATCCTCTATCTTTACAACATTTTACCCACCTTTTTTCTGTGTATTTTGAACAATAATAATAGGTCCAAAAAAATAATTCTGGACTAGAATTTTGGAACCATTAGTGTTTTTCTTAAATCTGTATAATCATGACTGAGTATGTTGTAATATACACAAACTTGTCTTGTTGCAAAACGGAGAAATTTATTTTGTACACGCTCTAGTTTTAACAATTGGTACTCTTGGTATGGGACCCATATTGCTATTACAAATTCTAATTTTGATCTGGCTAAAGCAAAAAATAATGACTTTAAGACCACTATGTTCTTAAAATGACACGCATTTCTTTGGATTGAGCCAAACACTTTAAGTGCCGCGTTAACAGTATTGGCAATATGAGTATCAAACCTTAGATTAGATTATTAAACCTTAATTAAATAATGACATCAATTATTTATATAATTATATATAAATAAAACAGTCCTTATCCAAAATATACAATCTCTTTTATAAAAATTAATAAATATAAAAATCATGAAATTAAATTCTATTGGATCCCCTCCCACACAGCACAACATCTTACACCAGGCCTACAGCAGGCTTACATGTAAGGTTTGTAAGGTAACATCGTAAGCCCATAGTAGACTTACAGTAAACCTAAAATGTCCGCCTTACAGTAAGCTTACATGGTAGGGTCGAGGTAAGCTTACATGGTAGGGTCGAGGTAAGCTTACACGGTAAGGTCGAGGTAAGCTTACACGGTAAGGTCGAGGTAAGCTTACATGGTAGGGTCGAGGTAAGCTTACATGGTAGGGTCGAGGTAAGCTTACACGGTAAGGTCGAGGTAAGCTTATGAGTAAAGGCTGTGGTAAGGTTATTATTAAGTTGTAAGGTTGAGGTAAGGTTGTGGTAAGCTTACAAGGTAAGGCAAGTTATATTCAAATAATAATATTAATAATAAATAAATATTCAATAAAAAAATTTTTCTTTTGCCTTATTCTATTTTGGGAACCTATCATTTCGCAGAAAGTTTTGAAAACAAATTTGGGAGGAGTAGGATTCGAACCCGGGACCGAAGTATATACCTAACAACCTAACCAACTGAGCTAAACGGGGAACTGACAATGAGAAAAGTAATCTTACTTTTAAAGTGGAACCAAGAAGATAATCAACTCCTTAAAAGCAAGATTACTTTTCTCATTGTCAGTTCCCCGTTTAGCTCAGTTGGTTAGGTTGTTAGGTATATACTTCGGTCCCGGGTTCGAATCCTACTCCTCCCAAATTTGTTTTCAAAACTTTCTGCGAAATGATAGGTTCCCAAAATAGAATAAGGCAAAAGAAAAATTTTTTTATTGAATATTTATTTATTATTAATATTATTATTTGAATATAACTTGCCTTACCTTGTAAGCTTACCACAACCTTACCTCAACCTTACAACTTAATAATAACCTTACCACAGCCTTTACTCATAAGCTTACCTCGACCTTACCGTGTAAGCTTACCTCGACCCTACCATGTAAACTTACCTCGACCCTACCATGTAAGCTTACTGTAAGGCGGACATTTTAGGTTTACTGTAAGTCTACTATGGGCTTACGATGTTACCTTACAAACCTTACATGTAAGCCTGCTGTAGGCCTGGTGTAAGATGTTGTGCTGTGTGGGCTCCCATAAAGTCCCATTGTCTAGGAATGGATCTCCAGGCATACATTTTTACGAGAATGTTAAATTGTCAAAAGAAATTTCATACGCTATTTTTTTCGCCATTGTTATAAATATATATATATATATATATATATATTTATATATATTTATTTATATAATATATATATATATATTATATACATGTGCGATTCCAAGTGAGATTTTGACTTTTTCGGAGTAGGTTAACCGATTGCAATGAAACTTTGGGATTTTGTTATATATAGTAAGACTAATCTTTAACGTAAATTTCAGCCTAAAATATTTGTTAGTTTACGAGATTTGCAATAATAACAAAAAATTTAAAACTGCTATATCTTCCGTTCTAATAAACGGATTGAGGTCTACTTTTTTTTAAAATGTCAAGGAAAATGAGAGGAATAAATCTCTTTCAGAACATTTTTTTATAATTTTACAACTAAAAAAATTATTAAATAATAATTGAATAACTTTCGCGCGACTAACTAAAATTCAATCACTTAAACGCTAAAATGATCTTACCTGTGTTTTCTTTAATGTTCCAAAGGATTTTTATTGTAAATGTAAGTTTAACTTAAGAAATTTTATTAATTTATTAGTATAAACAATTGAGATTTCTGCTAGTTGACGTGCAGACGACATTGCGCACGCAGCATTCTCACATAGCCAATTTAGTCCACGAATCACGTCAGTTGGCTATGTGAGAATGCTGCGTGCGCAATGTCGTCTGCACGTCAACTAGCAGAAATCTCAATTGTTTATACTAATAAATTAATAAAATTTCTTAAGTTAAACTTACATTTACAATAAAAATCCTTTGGAACATTAAAGAAAACACAGGTAAGATCATTTTAGCGTTTAAGTGATTGAATTTTAGTTAGTCGCGCGAAAGTTATTCAATTATTATTTAATAATTTTTTTAGTTGTAAAATTATAAAAAAATGTTCTGAAAGAGATTTATTCCTCTCATTTTCCTTGACATTTTAAAAAAAAGTAGACCTCAATCCGTTTATTAGAACGGAAGATATAGCAGTTTTAAATTTTTTGTTATTATTGCAAATCTCGTAAACTAACAAATATTTTAGGCTGAAATTTACGTTAAAGATTAGTCTTACTATATATAACAAAATTCCAAAGTTTCATTGCAATCGGTTAACCTACTCCGAAAAAGTCAAAATCTCACTTGGAATCGCACACATATATAATATATAATATATAATATAATATATATGAAATAGTATATAAAATAAAATAATAAAAATTGATAAATAAAATAAAAGCAACACAAAAATTATGCAAAAATTAACAACTGCCTGAAAAAGACTTTATAGGGCAGTTTACTGCCTAAAAAAGACTATACAGGGCAGTTTTCTGCCTAAAAAAGTCTTTTTTAGGCAGTTGGCCCAAACTGCCTTAAAAAGTGCTACTTTATCTGCCCAAAACAGGCACAAAAAAGACACTTTTTCATGTCAATGGCGAAAAAAAATATTTGATTTTTGAACAAACAAAAAATGTTTAGGTATTAAAATATATAAGTTGAAATGAAATTTGATTTTAATAATTTTGTGAAATGTTGCTATTTAAAAAATATAGAATTTTTACTACTTTAAAACTTTGTTTTAAAGAATACGTATATTTAAAATTTAGAACAAGAAATATAAATAAGAAAAATAAAAAAAACCGACAATATTAAAAAAATAGGATAATATTTTTTATGTAAAATGCATGCGATTAAGATATATCTTTCTTTTATTTTTCAATTCGCATGCATTTTACATAAAAATAATATTTAAAAATTTTTCTCAATATTTTATTACTTTCTTAAATTTTTTTTTATTGTTCTTTTCAAATAAATATATTTTTTAAAATTAATAAATTTTAAATTGGTAAACCTTATTTTGTAAATCTATTAAAAACTCATTTTTATCTTTAAATTACTAAAAAAGTTTTTTAATAATAACAATAATAATAATAAATTAATTATGCAATAATTAAATAATGACAGTAATTATTTATATATATATATAAATAAAACAGTCCTTATCCAAAATATACAATCTCTCTTATAAAAATTAATAAATAAAATCTTTTAATATACAACATCTATTCTAATATATAGACTCGATATCTTCATGCAGAAGCAAAGTGTACATGAATTGATCACAAAAAATTTATATTTCAACTTGAAATGTTTGTTTTTATTATTTTACTGTGTTATCTATACCTGCTGTGAGCAGTATATAAATGGTAGAAATTTATATTAAACACTATAAGTGTAACTAAATAAGTCTAAAGAAAAATAAGGCAGAAGGTAACTATAAAAATTACTTATAATTGACTGATATTTTCAATATTACATTGGTTAAAATTTGAAAATATGTAACAAAACTTGTTAAATTAATTTGATAATTTTTAAATAATTATGCATATTTTATATTCATGATGATTGCTCTTTTGACAATTGTCAATTACTATATAATTTATTAAATTCCTAGAAATGAATTTTGATTTTTTTTTCTTATATCTTGTTTCAACACAACAATTATGACTTATCATACAAAATTTTAAAAATTCATAATACTAAAGATAATTTAATAGCACGTTAAATATTTTCCTAAAAAAAAATGTATAAAACAAAAATTTTGCATGAATAAATTAGGCAATATTTAAAATTTTTTCTAAATGTATAGTTAAAAATTATTTAAAATAACAATATTATTAAAATATTTATTAATTAAAATTTAAAAAGGCGCAATAATTTTGATACAATTTTTCAGATTCCAATCATGGCTATATCAAATGATGTAATTCATTATTTGGAAATTATTCTTATTCTTATTACGTTGTGCACCTGCAGCAATGCTTCTGAATTAAATGAGGAACAACTATCCAGGGATAAAGAAATTGCACGTCTCACAGCTTCAGGAATGGTTGAACCAGAATTGTTTTACGACTTAATGCACAAGGAAAATTTTGATAACAATTGCTCATTGTCATATAGATTATATGAAATGGGGAGAAATACTCATAGACATATATTGTATCATTTAGGTAATAGCAAGAATTTGGGTTATGATTGGTACTTTTACGGTTTAAGGCATTTTAAAGATATGTATTATAAAGTAGCTAAGATATATAATATTTTTAATTTGTCATCTGTAATAAGTTTTGAAGATGCCTTTTCCATTGCATATTACACTAATTATGGCTTTGAACGAATAAGACAAGACACGGATGAGGGTAGACAAATGAGGAATGCTTTCTACAGATTAGCAATAGTACAATCCAAAGATCCAAGTAAATATCATAATTCTATATTGTATCGAGGACAAAGCGAACTCAATACGTGGTATGAAACACATTATTATATAAATGGAACGGCAACATTGACAAGATTTACTTCAACATCATTAAATGAAGCAGTAGCAGCTACCTACGCGACAGACAGAAAAAATGCAACTAACATGACTTCAACAGTTTATGAAATGCATTTTCCACCCTGTTGAAAATTCCGACCTCGTTTACGACGTCGTATTCTAAGTAGTTTGCGACGTAGTAAACGACGTAGTAAACGAAGTAGTAAACGACGTCGTAAATGAAAGCGGAATTTGGGATAGCAAACTACGTCGTTTACTACGTCGTTTACGATGTCGTTTACTACGTCGTTTACTACGTCGTTTACGATGTTGCAAAAATTATTTTAATATTATTTATTTAGTAATTTAGTAAGTCCAATATCCAATATTAAAAATTTTAATAATAATTTAAAAAATCAATAATTTAAAAAAAAATTTATTTTTATTATTTTTTTATAGTTATTATTATTATTTTATTTTTAATATTTAAATTAAAATAAAAAAATGGTCATCAAAATATTAGTGAAACCATTTCTTCCAAAAAAGAATTTGTCTCAAATCCAATAAAGGAGAGACATCGGGCAGAAAAAAATTTCGACAAAAAAAAAATTTTCGATCACTGCTTATATACCAATCTAAAGGCACCTCAACTGCGAGAAACAGTTATGATGTTCGCCCTCCCTGTGGCGTTGAGCGAACTTAAGTCCAGAGCTGAGCCATCAGCGCAGCGCGGAAACATTTGAAAAATTTGATTTTATTAGATATTTTATTTTATTTTAAATATGACAAATAATTAACTTAATAAATAATTAATGTCATAAATAATTATTAATAACATAATGTCATACTTAATAATTCGTTAATTAATTATTTTTAACGAAAATTTGACAAAAACAAAATTTGTTGGCCAAAAAAAATATTACCATTAAAAAATAATTTTTTTGTTAAAATTTCGTAGTAAAAAAAATTTTTTCAAGACAATTATTTGTGACCTAAAAAAATATCACGATGAGAATATAATTAACAAAAAAAATTACTCGTAGCACAGAAAAAATTTCACCATGAGAAAATAATTTTTTTTAAATTTTATTTGTAAAAAATTTATTGGTAGCTCAAAAAAAATATCACGATGAGAAAATAATTTTTTGTCAAATTTTCTCTGTAAATAAATTAATTAACTAAATAACGTACCGTAAAACGGGGTTATTTCGCTCATTGCGGGTAAATTCGCTCACCCACTTTTATGCTTTATTTCAGCTTTAAAATAAAGTTTAATACATTTATTACCAGGTTAAATTTTCGTAATAAAAAAATTAATTAATTTATTATTAAGCTAACTAGCAAAATTAAACGCGCGCAAGCGCGCCAAATTGAGGATTTAATTATTTGTTATAAAGAAATTAAAGATTAATATTATTAATAATAATTTAATTTATTAGAATATTATAACATATTAAATGATAATAATGAAAATTATATGTTTACAGGCCTCGGATTATACGACTTTTTCCGACTTTTTTCAAAAATACGACTTTTATCAACTTATTTTAATAAATTGCGACTTGTTTTTTACATTTGAAAAGAAAATGTAAATAAAATACATTTTTTTGGTATAAAATGTAGATCTTCTTCAGATCTTCTTCAATTCAATTATTTAACAAATTTTGAACTAAAATGATTCTTCACTAAATTAATTATTTTTAATAATTTTAATGAAATACATTACAAATTCAATTATATCAAAATTATTTTTCAATTAAAATTTTTATGAAATTTAACAATTGTTTATAATTTAAAAAAAAATATCACAATAAAATTGAATTATTTTTTAAAAATTTCAATTCAAGATAAACTAAAATTCAATTATTACCCGAAATTTTAATTCAAAATCAATTAAAATTCAATAATTATCCAAAATTTTCAATTTAAAATTTAATTATTTACCAAGTTTTCAATTTAAAATGAAATAAAATTCAATTATTTTCTAAAATTTCTATTCAAAATTAATTATCCAAATTTTCAATCAAAAATGAACTTAAATTAAATTATTATAAAAAATTTCAAGTAAAATTCAAGTATTTCCCAAAATTTTTAATTCAAAATGAACTGAAGTACAATTATTTTCCAAATTTAAAATCAAAATTAAATTTCATTATTCTCAAAAATTTTAATTCAAAATTAATTGAATTTTCAATAATTTGAATTTAAAAGCATCTAAAATTTCTAAAATTTTCCATCGAAATTTTTTTTTTTTGAAATTTAATAATTTCAATTATAACTCTAAGGAAATTCAATTATTTTTAACTATTTTAATAATATTCTTTGAAAATTCAACTATGTGAAACCATTTTTCAATTAAAAATGATTTTCAAATTATTGTATTTTGTCCGCATTTTCTAATAAATTTTTAGTGAAATCATCTAAAATTTTAATTACAAAACACTTAAAGTTTCAATTAATTTCAAAAATCTCAATTTTAAATCTTTGAAAATTCAATTAAATTTAAAAAATGTTTTCCAAAAATTGTTTGATAAATTATTTTTAGATCTGTAAAATTTAATAATTGTTTGAAAATTAACTATATCTTTTGAAATTTAATTATTTCTAAAAATTTCAACTTTAACCCTTCGAAAAGGATTATTATTAAAAAAAAATTTTTATTTAAAAATCTGTAAAATATTTTTGTTAAAATGAAAAACAAATCCACTTTTTTTTGGAATATAAATCGACTAAAACGACTGTTTTGTGTCTTTAAGTTGATTCGAGGCCTGTGTTTTTATAATTAATATTTAATAGGTAATCGTTGGCCCCTGGTACCTTAAAAATAAATTTTTTTCAAATTACTATCTTGTACGAAATTTCCTGGCGCATCTTTTTTCTCATTATAAATTTTTTGTATTTGTATACAATTTTTGAATCAATATACAACTTTAAAAAAATTTTCGTTGGTAAACGTTGTGTACTTCAGCTTCGTGAATTGAATTTTCGAATTTGGAATTTTAAAGAAACTTATTCCGAAATTTGGAAACACAATTATACAATTTTGGCAAAAATGAGAAAAAGAATTGTCAAAATTTGACACGTCATAAGATTACTATATTCAAAAAAATACGTGAAATCAGAAAAGGCCAACTTCAAGTTAGGACAGAAAGACAGACCAAACATTTTATTATTATATAATTATTTAATTAATTTTTTTTACAGAGAAATTTTGACAAATAAAATTATTTTCTCATCGTGATATTTTATTTGGGCCACAAATAATTTTTTTATTGAGAAAATTTTAAAATAAGTAAATTTCTCATCGTAATATTTTTTTGTGCTACGTATAATTGTTTTGTTAAATCTTTTTACAGAGAAATTTTTACAACAAAATTATTTTTCATCGTGATTTTTTTTAAAAACACGAATTTTTTTTTTCAAAGAAAATTTGAAAAAAAATTATTATTTTATCATTGTGATATTCTTTTGTGCTACGAATAAATTTTTGGTAAATTTTCGTAGTAAAAAAAATCAACGATTTATTACGGTATTTAGTGAATTAATTGTTTTTAAGAGAAAATTTGACAAAAAAGTTATTTTCTTATCGTGATATAATTTTTTTAGGCCACAAAATATTTTTTTTACAGAGAAAATTTAAAGATAATTAAATTTCTCATCTTGATATTATTTTTGTTCTACAAATATTTTTTTGTTACATTTTCGTAGTAAAAAATTAAGTAACTATAATAATTACCGTAAAACAGGGTTATTTCGCTCAGTGCGGGTAAAGTCGCTCACCCATTTTTTTTCTTTAAATTTGATTAAAAACTAAAATTTAGTATTTCTATTAACAAATTTAACATTTTTACCTGCTAATAAAGGTATTAAACTTTATTTTAAAGCTGAAATAAAGCATAAAAGTGGGTGAGCGAATTTACCCGCAATGAGCGAAATAACCCCGTTTTACGGTACGTTATTTAGTTAATTAATTTATTTACAGAGAAAATTTGACAAAAAATTATTTTCTCATCGTGATATTTTTTTTGAGCTACCAATAAATTTTTTACAAATAAAATTTAAAAAAAATTATTTTCTCATGGTGAAATTTTTTCTGTGCTACGAGTAATTTTTTTGTTAATTATATTCTCATCGTGATATTTTTTTAGGTCACAAATAATTGTCTTGAAAAAATTTTTTTTACTACGAAATTTTAACAAAAAAATTATTTTTTAATGGTAATATTTTTTTTGGCCAACAAATTTTGTTTTTGTCAAATTTTCGTTAAAAATAATTAATTAACGAATTATTAAGTATGACATTATGTTATTAATAATTATTTATGACATTAATTATTTATTAAGTTAATTATTTGTCATATTTAAAATAAAATAAAATATCTAATAAAATCAAATTTTTCAAATGTTTCCGCGCTGCGCTGATGGCTCAGCTCTGGACTTAAGTTCGCTCAACGCCACAGGGAGGGCGAACATCATAACTGTTTCTCGCAGTTGAGGTGCCTTTAGATTGGTATATAAGCAGTGATCGAAAATTTTTTTTTTGTCGAAATTTTTTTCTGCCCGATGTCTCTCCTTTATTGGATTTGAGACAAATTCTTTTTTGGAAGAAATGGTTTCACTAATATTTTGATGACCATTTTTTTATTTTAATTTAAATATTAAAAATAAAATAATAATAATAACTATAAAAAAATAATAAAAATAAATTTTTTTTTAAATTATTGATTTTTTAAATTATTATTAAAATTTTTAATATTGGATATTGGACTTACTAAATTACTAAATAAATAATATTAAAATAATTTTTGCAACATCGTAAACGACGTAGTAAACGACGTAGTAAACGACGTAGTAAACGACATCGTAAACGACGTAGTAAACGACGTAGTAAACGACGTAGTTTGCTATCCCAAATTCCGCTTTCATTTACGACGTCGTTTACTACTTCGTTTACTACGTCGTTTACTACGTCGCAAACTACTTAGAATACGACGTCGTAAACGAGGTCGGAATTTTCAACAGGGCAAAGCCATTTTTGAGTGCAAATATTGATAATTTAACACTCAGTTCTCTTGAGAGAGAAACAGTTCTGCTTCCAGATACGGAATTTATTACTAATGAAAGGACGAATGATATTAATGGTGTTGATTTAAGAATAAAAATAACTCATA